AAGACATATATGTAAGGAATGCACTCTCAGAGCTAGAGTATGAATTATCCCACTTTCTAGCTGATATGCCTAGAGAATAAGCTAGGAAGGAAAAGAGTACGTCTCAAAAAAACATTTCAAACACAGAAAAGCAAGCCATATAGTCTGCTCTCTGATTTCTGAAAGATCTGCTGCCCTATATTTGAAGTAGGTGTGAACCATAGACTAAGGCTGTGGAGACACTAGGCATTAAAAACACACTGAACTTGGAACCCTCAGCGGCCACACCTAGCATGATCCCAGAAGAATTTCTGGTCAGGCAACACACAGCTATCACACCCTCCTAAAAACAAGCGAGAACAACAGAAATAAGAAACAAAACACTCATCAACAAAGACAAGATTAGCTATCAGCCTCTAGATATACAATCTTCACAAACCCAAATGCTTAAACTCCAGCATAATCAATAATCAACAGAGCAATGTGTTTCTATTAGTCTGAGCAAGCCTACCCCAGTAGTCCATGTGAAATGCAAAATAGTTGAAGCACAAGACAAGGACCCTACAAAATCCTCTGTGAATATGATAGAAGTTCTTAAAGAGGAAATAAGTAAATCCCTTCAAGAAATCTATGAAAACACAAACAAACAGTGGAAGGAAATTGATGAAACAGTTCAAAACTGAAAATAGGAAAAGAGTCAATAAAAGAAATGGAAACTGGAAATAAAAAGTTTAGGGTCTTGAATAAGAACCTCAGAAACAAGTCTCACCAACATAACAAAAGAGAGGGAAAAGAGAATATGAAGCATTAAAGACACCATCAAACAAATGGTTACCTTGGACAACATCAATGGTCTTAATCCTCCAATAAAAAGGCACAGACTCATGTCTGGATGAAAAAATAAGATGCAGTATGTTCCTTCTGCATCCAAGGAACATACTTAAACAACAAGAATAAACACCACCTCAATGTAAAAGGATGGAAAAAACATATTCCATGGAAATGGACCTATTAAAGTGGCACAGCTAGTGTAATATCTGAAAAATTGGACTTCAGACCAAAACTCGTCAGAATAGATAGGAGAGTACGCTATATACTCATCAAAGAAAAAAAAAAATCCACCAAGAGGACATTGATATTCCTAACATCTATGCACCACACAGAAAAGCATCAAAGTTCACAAAGCACTACAACTTAAATCACATATTGACCCTTACATACTAATAGTGTGAGACTTCAATATCCCCCTTTCACCAACAGACAGGTTATCTAGACAAAAACTAACCAACAACAACAAAATGCTGAAGTGTTTAAATCAAATGGATTTAAAAGGTGTTTACAGAATGTTTTACCAAAACACAAACTAAACATACCTTCTCAGCGCCTTGTAGAAATTTCTCCAAAACTGACTACTTACACACAAAACAAGTCTCAATAAATACAAGAAATTGGAATAACAACCCTGCATCTTACCTGACCACCACAGACTAAAACTGGCCATCAACAACACAAAGTTTACAAACTTAGGGAAACTGAACAATTCATTAGCAAATAAAAAATGGGTTAAGACAAAAAATTACTATAAAAATTAAAGACTCTCTAGAATGTAATTAAAATGAATAACAATACACTCAAACATATAGGGCACAATAAGGGTGGTTCTAAAAGGTAGCACTAAGTGCCCACATAAAAAAATTGGGGTGATCGCATACTAGTAACTTAACAGCGCTAGAACATAAAAAATCACACCCCAAAGGAGTGGATGGCAAGAAATAATCAAACTCAGTTCTGAATCCAACAAATTATAAACAAACAAAATTACAAGAATCAATGTAACAAAGAATTGGTTCTTTGAGAAAATTAATAATATTGACAAAACCACATCTAAATTAACTAAAAGGTAATGAAGGAGGTTGCAAATTAACAAAAATTACAGATAAAAGGGGGGTCATAACAAAAGAATGTAAAAAAATCCAGAGAATCATAAGTGCATACTTCAAAAACTATATTCTACCAAATTAGAAAATCTAAGCAAAATGGATAATTTTTATCAGTACAAACCTCTTATCAATGTTAAATCAAGACCAGCCAAACAATTTAAACAGAGTCATGTCCCTTAATAAAAATAAAAGCAGTAATTAAGTCTACCACCTAAAAAAACAAACAAACAAACAAACAAAAAACAAAAAACAAATAAAAAACCAAGGGCCAGATGGTTTTAGCTCAAACTTCTACCAGACTTTGAAAGAAGACTTAATGCTAATACTCCTCAAATTATTTAACAAGATAAAATAAGGAACAATGACCGATGTTTTTAGTGAGGCCATAGTCACCCTGATAACTAACCCTCACAAAGACCCAACAAGGAGAATTACAGACTAACGTCTTCTAGCAACTGTAAGGTTTCATCTCAAATCTCCTACACCTTCCAAACTGGCCAAGATCAATAAAACAAATGACAGCTCATGCTGGTTAGGATGTGTAGTAAAGGAAAACAATCTTTCAATGCTTGAGCCACTGTCGAAATCATTGTAGCCATAATTCAGGAAGTTGGGAATTGGTCTACCTCACCATCTAGCTATATCACTTTGGACATATACCCAAAGAACATTTCATCCTAACAAAGAACACTTGCTCAGCTGTGTTCGCTGAAGCGTTATTCGTAATAGCTAGACACTGGAAACAGCCTAGATGTTGCTTAACAGAAGCGTGGATAATGAAAATATGTTTCCGCAATGGAATATTACTCATCCATTAAAAATAAACTAAAATCATGACGCACACAGGTAAACTGTAAGAACTATATAAAACCATACTGAGTGTGTCAAAGTCCCTGCCTGCTGCAAGGCATGTCTGTCATACCCTGCCCTCCACCTAGAGGTGTGGTTTCTCTACCAGAGCTCCTTGATTATGTAACCAGCTTTCTTGGTTCTGTTTCCCCCTTTTCCACCTTTGCTGCCCCTTGCCCCCATTCCTCCCTCCCCCCCCCCTTCCCCCCCCCCCAACCCCCCCCCCCCCCCCTCCCCCCCCCCCCCGCTGCTCCTAATAAACCTGCATTTATATAATATAGCTTAATCTCCCCATTCGCTCATTCTATTTTATTTATTTAATCATCTGGTACCTATGACTTAGGGGAAGTTGAGTCCCACAAGCTGGACTTCCTGGGACCACTCTCTTCACCTCGTAGTTCTTTGCTAATCATCTTCAAACGCCAAAAGAAGTTCAGTACCCAGCCAAGCTAAGGAGGCAACATGGGAACCAACCACTTCCTTCCTTTGACCTCCCTGTCAGCCTGAGGCAACTTTGGATTCAGTAAGTGCCTTGCCCCTCAGCTACTGCCAAGAGGTATCAGGTGCCTCTTCAGGGATTCATGTCCCGCCCCACTCTCTCTCTTCTGTGAAGATGTCCCCAGAGAAGAGGAGTCCGACCAGAACAAAGCCAGGCTTCATTCCGAGGTCATCTCAGATTTCAAGGACATCTGTTTGTGGATTAACCTCACCAAAATTGCCAATCCCAGAATTGGGACACCACTTCCATACTTTTGGGATTCTGGCAAAGAATGGGAAAATGAGTGCTTCTGGGTATAAAATTAATCCCCAGATACCTCTTGGGTGTCTGCGGAGATTATCTACTCTCTCCAGGATTTGGGGGGAAGCATGTTTTCACCTCTCCCCCTCCTCCAATTCCTGGGGCTGTGTCTCCATACATGGCTCTAGGTTCTCCCTATCCCATCCTGATTCTTCCCCACACCCATGCAAGATGTAGGCAGATGGAGACAGCAGCAGGATAGATGGTACATCACTGGAGATGCAGATTTAAATATCCCTTTGGGCAGAGTGCAGGGAATCTTATAAAAGAAAGGGGAGATAGAAATACCTGGAGGGGACAGGAGTTACACAAGGAGAGCAACAGTACCAAAAAAAAAAAAAAAAAAAATCTGGCCACAGAGGTCTTTTCTGAGACTGATACTCCAACCAAGGACCATTCATAGAGATAACCTAGAACCCTTGCACAGATGTAGCCCATGGAAGCTCCATGTCCAAGGGGATACCCTAGTAAGGGGAACAGGGACTGTCTCTGAAATGAACTCAGTGGCTGGCTCTTTGATCACCTCTCTCTGAGCAGGGAGCAGCCTTACTAGGCCATGGAGGAAGACAAAGCAGCCAGTCCTGATGAGACCTGATAGGCTAGGGTCAGAGGGAAGAGGAGGAGAACCTTCCCTATCAGTGAACTTGGGGAGGAGCATGGGAGGAGATGAGGGAGGGAGGGCAGGATTGGGAAGGGATGGAGGAGGGGGCTACAGTTGAGATACAAAGTGAATAAACTGTAATTAATAAAAATAAATTAATTAAAATTATATATAAATAAATAAATATCCATCTGTGGCACTTAAAACACTTGGCTCATCATCATGATGGGTTTGATCATCATTATCAAGAGGTATCTGGGGATTAATTTTATACCCAGAAGCACTCATTTTCCCATTCTTTGCCAGAATCCCAAAAGTATGGAAGTGGTGTCCCAATTCAATATTCTGGGATTGGCAATTTTGGTGAGGTTAATCCACAAACAGATGTCCTTGAAATCTGAGATGACCTCGGAATAAAGGGGGTGGGGCCATGGCTTTGTTGCCACCTATTAAGCTTTTGCTATTCAGTCTGTAAAGATGCAGTGGGACCAGAAGAATTGCCAGTTTGTGAACTGTATCTAAGACTGAACATTTCCCTTTGATACTAGCTCAGAAATATTTTTTCTGTCATGCTAAACAAACAAACAAACAAACAACTAAGCTTTACCTAGTCTCTTGTTTTATGTTTTCAAGGTTAAGCCTAGGATGGGTATCTATACAATCAATAAAAGTTTGTTTTGCTCAGCTATACTTAATAGATCATGGTCCTCAAAACCATCAGAAAATCTACAGAATATTACATTTAAATGCTTAATAAAAATGCTTAATGTGACAGAGCCCCCAGCTTCTAGTGGTGACCCCATGGCCTCCAGGAAGATTTGGGTATAATAACATGACTCCACCTGGACACTATGATACTGTGCAGCACTGCTTCACCTTGATTGCTGCTAAGGTCCTGCCTGAACTGTGGACAAATGTGACAGCAGGAGAGCCTAAACAAATAAGGTTAGTCATTCTCCCAAATTCTTCTTCCGTGGAATGGCCTCAGATTTGCTGCGCCCAGAACCTGAAGACTGATGCTGTCAGGCTGCCCTAGATTTGTGCCCACAAGCACCACTGATATCAACAGGAGCCTAATGGGAAGACAGTCTGGATAATGGGTAAGCTTCTGTCATATTAATCAGGCTTCACCTGCCCTCTCAAAAATGAACAGTTTATGTAAAGTCTGAGCTTCTGATGAAATATTTGAAGGTCTAAGATGGTGTTTTAAGGTTGGTAATAATAAAGTAATTTTAAGTATATAAAACTCTTCCCCCACCATACTACTGTTGTCTTAATATTGTTCAGAACTTTGACATTAATCAGAATTTAAATTGTCTCCCAAGCTAATTTGTATCTTTCTGTAGGCTTCAGGAGATCTGCTTGCATCCACAGGTCATACTCCAGGTAAGTACTGCCAATCAACAGCCTGTTTCTGAGCCTACCTATTCCTGAAAGTGGGATTCCTCCCCTGGTTCAACTTTGGGAGCTCCCAACATTCTACCTTAGTACCTCTTGGGAAGCTGTAAACCTCACAGCCAGAAGGGTGACAAATTAAGTGAAGTAAAGAATGAAAATCGATTCAGTATCACCTTTGTAGGCACTGGTCAAAACTTTAGAGTTTGACCTCATGGTTTATTATTCTTACAAATTTAAGCACAGTAAAATTTTGGGGAAAGATTTTCATGTGACAATTATCTCAACTAAGCTTTAGGCACAGCGATATAGAAACTCCCTAGCAAAGTAACAAAGCACCTGTGGCCTTTACAATAAGAATGAGTTCTACTGGCTGGTAAACAGTACTCAGGGCAAGGGACTAAGGAATAAAGATTTGTAATAAGCATAAGCATAGATTCTATTTGGAGGATACAAAATACATGGGACTTCTTTCATAAAAATGGGTTCTATTCATATCTTTCATAAAAATGGGTTCTATTCATAGGGAGACAAAACTCAGGATTAGGGCCTAAACAATGCTCATGATTTAAGGGGGAGGGAGATTCAGGAAGGCTGGCTCCATAGAATAGCAAAAACATCCACAGGTTGCCATATCCACTCCAATATTGCAGGTGACTCAGTCATTCTCTCTCTCTCTCTCTCTCTCTCTCTCTCTCTCTCTCTCTCTCTCTTTGAAGGAAATAGTTTCCTGTGTCTAATAAGCCTGGCTCTTCCTACAATAAGCTGTGCCTCCTACAAATACCCTTAATCAAAAGACCCTCATTTCTCTCACTCATGGGCACTATCTAAAGCTATGTACCTCACTTTTGCACTTTGATCTATGCCATACACCATCATTGCAAGGGCTTCCAAGACTGTCTCTGATATAAATGCAGTCTGCGTGTGCTCAGATCATTTCTTCTACATGTGTCTAATTCTTTTAAATTTCCCATTCTCTCTCAATTGCTTTTATCTCCTTACTTAAGATTGAAAATGTACTTTTATAAAGGAGACTTGTGAGTTGAAACTGTACGTTTCACTAACAGATATTAAATATACAAAATAGTTAAGTTTTATACATTGCTATATAGAGATGTATTTAAACTATATTCAATCCCTGGTTTACCTTTAATTACATAATTTATAATGGTGCCCTTCTCTTCCTCACTAAATCTCCCATTTACATTCACACTTTTTAGAAAAATCTGAATAGTACATATGAAGAAAATATGCTTCTTTTTCTCTTAATTGGTCTTGTTTCTTTTAACTTCATCAACTCCACTACTAATTTTCAAACTTCATCTTTCACATTTCATCTTTTTAAAGGTCCCTATACTTATTCCATGACTTCCCTGTTGGGAACAGAGTAACCATAAAAATGGATGTTTATGAATGTCTATTGTAAGATGATTTTGATTCCTCTGGTACACAGACGAGACTGGTGTATCTGGGTCATACAATAATTCTTCCTTAAGCTTTTTGAGGACCATCTACACTGACTTCCAAAATGGTCTGGCAAATTTACATATGCATCAGTGACACACAAGGGTTGTTCTCCTTCATCCTCAGCTACATCTATTGTTCTTTGTTTATGATAATCATTCTAGATAAATAAAATCTCAGTGTAGTTTTGAATTGCACATTACAGTGGTTCAAGATGCTAAGCACTTTTTACTTGTGTTTCTTCATGAAAGGGGTTTCTGTCACATTAAATTACCCATATACTAATTGTGTTCTTTGTTCTTATTATTTTTAATATATTTTTATATATTTAGGACATTAATATATTGGTGGATGAATTTATGGGAAATAATTTTCGCTATTTTGAAGATGATCCCTTCACTATGGTGTCTGTTTTGCTGAGCAGAGGCTTTTAAATTTTATGTAATCTCATTTGCCAATTATTTTTAATTAAAAAGCAATTTAAATTTAAATGTAATTATATCATTCCTTCCCTTCCATTGTCTCTTCTCAGGCCCTGTCAAGTTTCTGCTCTCTAACTCTTCCCATGCCCTTACTTTCAATCTGTTAATCTCTTCTTTCATAATTATATTTCTAAATACATATATAGATTTACATCTATGTACAAATATAGAAATACAACTGCTGGGTCATTTTGTGGTTTGTGTGTGTATGGTTTCCGGGCTGACCACTTTGCATTAGACAAACATTTAGGAGGATCATTCCTGTGAGAGGCTGACACTCTTCAGCAGTCATCAGATACTCTAAGTGACTTCTAAAACCAAAAACTATGGGAGTTTTGACTTTGGTTGCCACTCATTTTTAAAGTAAACCCCTATTTCTGAAAACACCTCAGGCTTAGGATGTAGCACTTCAATGATTTGGTCGAGATCTAACCTGAATACTTTTGTCTTGTGATCAGGCTTTCATTGTATCAGAAAACTTCAATGAAAGCTGATAAGTGAGGGAAGCTAATAATACTCTTATCCAGCTATGACTCCTATGAACCACACTAATGATCAGCATGGTAATATATCTGTAAATGTGGCATAAGAGCCACTCCCATGTTGGTGGTAACCAATCAATAGGTATCTAATTGGAGTAAGGGCCTCTAAACAGGAGGTAAATTATGACTGGTCCTAGAAATCTAGCCAGCCTCCTGGGTCTAATGAGGTCAGGTATCTTAAAAGAGGATCTACTACTGCCATTTTGCTAGGCCTACAGAACTTCTTACATTCTAAATCTTGTCTTTATACCCATTGAGAAGTGTAGATGCCATCTGTTAACATTTAGGCAATTCAGCTTGCCTTGCCCTCATGGACCTAGCAACTGCTTACCTCATGATCTGCTTCCATAGGCAGGTACTGCATGTGCGTGCAGCAGAATAGTAAAACTGCTGCCATCCCAGCTTTCTTTCTGCTCCTAGCGGTGGTCTCTCTCTCTCTTCCCCACTCCTTCTCTGCTCTCCCACTCCCAACCCCACCCCTCATGGATCCCTTGCTGCCTCTACCTTTTCCCAGGTTCTCAATCTTTTCCCTTCCCCCAATAAACTCCCTTTATACCAGATCTCTTGCACGGTGTACTTTCTCAAGGGTGCACCTTGGCATGGGCCTACCAAAGTACCCCCTCACAACATTATATTTTATAATACCATACCTTATCAAAGACATTTGTTTATAGCAAATGGAGATGATAACTAAAAATCCACAACTGTACTCCATGCAGAGATCAAGGGATCATGGGAGACCTGCTGCAATGGATATGTTTACAGCCCTACATCTGTTGCTCAGGAAATACCATAGAAGAGAGGGCAGAGTCATTGTAAAAGCAAGATACCAGGAAATCTTCTGTGGAACAGTCTTTCTTGGAAATGGCTTCATAAACAAGATTTGAACAATGACAATATCAAAAAAACCTATTAAGGCTGAAAGGGAAAGGGAATCCTATTTATCAGTGTTTGCTGTTATATCTTGGACTATTGGAAACTTATTCAAAAGTCATTGACTATTCATCATTAAGGGTTTTCTTGTTTTTCCTTAGTAGTTTCAAAGCTTACATTAAGCTCATTGAATCATTTAAGTTGAATTTTGTTCAGTATGAAAAACAGTATATATGCTTATGAGTTTTGTACAGTATAAGAAAGTGTGTGAGTTTTGTTTTGTTTTTGTTTGTTTGTTTATATTTTGGTTTGTTTGGATTTTTTGTTTGTTAGTTTACCTGATTGTTTGGTTTCTAAAGCGAGGGAGAAAGGAAGGACCTAAAGCTGGGTAGCTGTGGAAGTGAGGAAGATCTAGAAGAACTTGGAAGAGGGAGAAAGCATGAAAAGAATTCATATAATATATAAAAAATGTTCAAAAAAAAGAAATAGGAATCTAGTTTTATTTTAATTGTGAATATGCAGTTTTCCTAGAGTCACTAATTGATATTTATGGTCTTTTCTTAACCACATGGTTTTGATATCTTTCTCAAAAGTCATGTGACCATTGTAGTGTGGGTTTTTCTGAAATTAGATATTGTGATAACTTCAGTATTGCTTTGGTTGTCCAAATAAACTTTATGTCCCACATAAACTAAACGAATTAAAGTTCATGAATTAAAAAAGGATGTGTTTCACCTGCTAAAGCCAAATTCATTTCTAATTGCTAGAACAATTCTGTATTCTAAAAAAATAAATTTTAGAATTATATTTTTAAAAATAATCAGCCTTCTAAAAACTAGGTCTATAAGCTGAAACAAGTACTACCAAGCTGTAGTTTATCTAGTTATGTTAATTACCTGGATCTTCATAGGTCTTGGGGGTACTCTTCACAAAATTACAAATTTTGTACCTTTACTGCATGGCACGAGATTCTTTTTGAGTATAAAGCCACCAAAAAAGGCAGTTTGTGCATGTACATTTGTACTAGCCCACACTTTTGTATGTTTACTGTTAAAATCAGCTATTTAGCATAAACGGAGAATTGAAGACTTGCTTGCTTATGTGTTAATGAGGACTAGAGATTTCAGAGGGGTTTTCTAGCTTAAGTCGAGGTTAACATGCCTTGTTGCCAAGTCTACTTGGAAATATGACCTGCCACAGTGCCATCACCTCACATCTGCTCGATGCTGACAATAACCCATTTTGGGGCTAAGCATCCTGACAAACAGGACTTTCTTGTGATTTATTTTTGGCATATCTTCAACTATTCATGAGTACTGCCAGAAAAAGTATCATTTATCTCTACAGGAATTCTTATAATAGAAATCAATTATTTTTTTTGGTATGGTTATCATGTATGGATATAAAGTAATGGAGAAAAGAATTGTGCAAAAAAAATACTCATATATTAACTGAATGTTATTGTAAAATACTAACCATAAGTCCATAGTGTTCTGTTCAAATCATCAGACAATAAAAGCTCAGAAGAGTTACCTTAAAAAGACAAGGTTACAAAATATTTTGCATGACTATGTATTATATACAATATTATAATTACTATTATAAGCAAACAGTAATTGCTTCATTTCTCTTCATTTAATCTTGTATAACAAAAGAGATCCAGGTTCTATTTTGCTAATAATTACTAATGTGAACCTTAAATCTGGCTTTTCTTTCTTAGATTAATTTTGTTGTTAATTTTTCTTGACAGTTTCTCACATATACATGAAACATGTTACCCACCCTTAATTCTCCTATTTCCCACCCCTGTCTACCCCCACACTTCCAAAAAGTTCTCTAAACCTGGATATTTATACCCATAAATAAAAGCTACTCTCACCCCTAAACAGGGAACTCTGGCAAAGAACAAGCAAAAACCTCAACTCTCTGAATTAGTCAGTTCAGTTAGGTATACTTCTTTTGTTAAGTCAGGAGTTAGAAACCTCTTTATAATATATGAAGGCAAAGTAATTTACATTTGCTGTATAACATGTAAGTGTATAGATGTATGTTTTCTTTCTTTAAAAGTCTGTAGTAATCCTTTTGGAAACTCAAGACAACTGAAGAATTCAATCACATAGCATAAAGTTTCTTAAAAGTAGGATTGAATTATTTCCCTCAACAAATTATCCTCCATAATTACGTATATCTTTGGCTCGACTGTTGGAATTATGTGCGGGAAACTGTTTCTCTTGTGTTTGTTATTTTATTATTTTTTATGTGTACCTGTCTGTGTAGGTACACCCGCACATGCAGTTGGGTGTCCGTGGGTGCTGGAAGAGGGAATCAGATTCCTTGCTACAGGAGTTACCAGTGGCTATGAGACACCAGAAGCTGATGCTGGGATGCACTCTTGCAAAGAGCCATGGCACCTGGAAGCCTAACCCTGGTCTCCTACAAAAGCAGTAAGTGCCCTTGGCCTCCAAACCATATCTCTAGCCATGAACTATAGTCTGTTGATATATTTTTCTATGTATGTGCATGTGTCTGTCTGTGTTAAATATGCACGTGAATGTGGTTATCTGTGGAAACAAGAAGGGGGTGGATCTCTTTGAGCTGGAGTTGGAAGTGGTTGTGGGCCGCTATGCATGAGTACTGGGAATAGAACTATGTTCCTCTGCATGACATTCAGTTGCTCTGAATATTGAAGCGATCTCTCCAGTTCCTATGCAAATATTTAAATTAAGATATTATCCTAAAATATGACAAAATGCAAATAATATGCAAACCACTATTAGACTGTATTCTTTAGGGGAATAGTGGTAAGAAAAAGGAATCTTGACTTTTTCAGTCAGCTATGCTATGTTTATTAGAATATCTTTCATCTGCAGTTAGCTGAAGCCATAGATGTGGAAAATGTAGACCTGAAATTCTAACTCTATACACAAATCCACACCCTAAATACACTACATAAAAATGGACACCTCTCTACATTCAGAGGAGTTCCTACGAATGTTTGACTACAGCTACTCCAGGTACCAGTACTTGATGTGGTTGGTGGTTTTAGCAGCCCAGTATGACCTGCTTCAAATGGGCAGTACTGTGCTTCTGAAAGTAGAACAGAGAAAAGGTGAGCAATGGGGTTCATTTACTAAGAGGCTCCTCTACTTATAGCAGGATTATAGTTCTTAAGATGGAAATGTTATAATATACAGAAGAGTAGGGTGGAGAGAGGGAGACTCAGGATTAGTATATGGAAGAAGCCAGTTGACAGTAAGACTGGGGAATCTTTTCCAGAATTACAAGTAAGGGACAGAACACTGTGAAATAAAAAACAAAAACAAAAACAAAAACAAAACATGGCTCTTCAAATGAGGAAAAGATGTGTGCTGTGTAAATGATTCATTAAAGGTCAAGACTCTGAATGCTCGAGGCCTTTGTCCTTCTAACCTTCCCCCTCTCAATGGCCAGTATTAATCTTTGAAAACTTTTTTTTTTTTAGTGTTCTGTTTGTATTTCTACCATTATCAATGAGCCCCTGGGCGAATTCTTTGTTTCAAAGAAACACATGGAAGTTTTTGAAAGTGCCCTCTGAATTCTAACACAACACCTATAATAAATCAGAAAAGTATTAAATATATCTAATCCCCAGCAGTCCCTCACTCAGCTGCACAGCCATGTGGCATATCAGGTGCTAATCCTCATGATAGCATGGATGACTAGGACCCTTCAGGTATCCAGAATCCACAGAAAGTATCATGGGATTGTATTCCCGTAGCTCAAGAAACATCAAAATTCAAATCTGGAAATGCAGTTGTACCCTTCTAACACTGTAAAAATACAGTCAAACCATAGCAAACCAAAGACCATCTATATTGTGATTCTACCCCATAGCTATACTATGGATGGAAACAACTTTAAGAGTTAATAATGAAATGTCCAAAAAAGTAGAGAAAGGTGTAAATTTTGAGTTGTGATGACTTTTGTTTTAAGGTAAAAAATTGAAGCAGGTCATGCTGGTGTAAATCCATAATCTCAACACCAGGAGGCAGAGACAGAAGAATGAATTCAAGGCCAGCCTGGGCCAGCTATGATGATTCTGTCTCGAAACAAAAAGGAGAAAAAACTCAGTGGTAGATCTCTTGCCTAGTTTGTGTGATCCTTCATTCAGTTGCTAGTCCCACAAACCAAATGAACAAAAATTATAATAAAAAACACACTAAAACAAAATAAAAATAAAACTATAGTTTTACATAAACTTAATGGTTTTTATGGGTTCTTTTATGCTGCTTTTTGTTGTTGTTGTTTTAGAATTTCATTCATGTGTTTAAAGCAGTTTGATCAAATTCTCTGCATTCCTTCCACTCCAAACTTTTTACTAGCCTCGCATTGCTCACCCCGGCCAACTTCATGTGTGCATTCTAAAAACACACCAAGTCCACAATTCACGACCTACACATGCGTGGGTGTAAAGATGACTTCTGGAGCATGTCTAATCCAACCATGTTCTGCATCCCTGAAGAAAACAGACTCCGTTACGCCCCCCCCCCCAACAGTCACAGTCTGTGCTAGGATATTGGCTAGTTTGACCTTGTGCAGATCGTGCATGTATAGTCACAGCTAAACATATATGTGCAATGGCCCCGCCATGTCCAGAAGCACTGTTTTACGGCTGTCGTCTACAGCCCCTGTACTTGTAACTATTCTATCCTAAGAAATATCCTATAGATATTCTAGAATTTAAATACTACTCACTTCAGTATGCAGGAACAGCAGTATCTAACACACTACAGTCAATTTATAAGATAAAGGTAGTGGCATATACTGACTGTCCCAGAATTTTGAGGGCAGAGTAAGAGGTTCACCACAAATTCAAGGCCAACCAGGTCTACATAATGAGTTCTAGGCCAGACCTGGCTGCACAGTAAGACTCTATCTCAAACAAACAAATATTCTAATTACATATGTCGATTGACATGATGGAACTATCCAACATGATGTGTGATAATGATATCTTTATGGAAGATTACAGAAAGGGAAGGGCCTGTGAATATGCACATTTACTTTGGGGAATTTTCTAAAACTTTTTAAAATAGAAAATTGTGCTCCTGAAGTGTATATAATTCCCATTCCAATGACAAATACTGGGTAGCTGAGATGGTTAGTGTTACTGTCAACTTGATGGGCCCTCTAGATTCTAACCACCTGGGAAATAGGCACACTTATGGAGGAATATCTTAATTGGGTATGAAGCCCTGCCTACTGTGATAGAAATCATTCCCTGGTCAGGGGATACTGGACTCCATTAGAAAGTGGAAAATGGAGGTGAGCACCAGTTTGCATTCATCTCTCTCTGTCTCCTGATTGTGGATGTGTTGTGATCAACTGCTTTAAGATCTTACTACCCTGGCTTTCCCTCCACAATGGACTATACTTTGAACTGTGACTTAAACATTTTCTTCCTTATTTTTTTTTCTGCAACAACAAATTTAATACCCATTTCATACAAAATGTCTTATTGTTCAAGCCCATCCCATGACGTTCTTATTCAGTTATAGCAATGCATGTTTTATTTCCTGGATTGTGGTGCTCACTTGCTTCTTTATGAGGGCACTCTGCATTGCAGACCTAGGGATTCTCGTTTGCCAAGAGCAGCCAGGTAAGAACAATGCTCATTTTCAGAGATAAGAACTTAAGATTTGCTTAGAGAATAAAACTTCCAGGTCTCCAGAGAGAGGTGAAGTAGACAGAAGTCACTGAGGGGTGGTCATCTAAGCATGCCAGAACCTGGACCTTGCTATAGATGAAGCCTTTATTATACTGTCTAACGTCTCACATACAAAATCAAAACAAACAAACAAACAAACAAACAAAAAGTCAAACAAAAAAAACCAAAACAATAACAAAGCCAAAACAATTTCTTTCACTTATAATTAAAATTATTCATACTGACACTACATTAAAAAGCATTCCCTCAATTATCTTTATGTGGGTACTCCAATCTATTGTCTGTGGATCCATGAGAAACAGTTTGTTTATAGCATAGTTCTGACTTAAGAATTTAGGGTGTAAATAGGAATTTATAATTCTTAGAAAACATTCAATAGTACTGTCATGTATCTGAGCTTTAACATATCATAACAAAAACTTGGAAAAATAATTAAGATATCATATATTTCAGTGAAGCATGTCAATATCAATGCTAATGCAAGACACAGACATTAGGTCTCCCTATATTCTCTTTTACCTGCAAGTGTACACATATTGAATAATATCTAACTAACCCAGATATAATAGATAAAATCATTGACTGTTCTTACAAGATATCTTCCTGCTTTCTCAGTAGTTCTTGGTTGGCTTTGGCTAACACTGAGCACCAGTGCACACTAACAAATGATCATTGAAATTAATGACTTCATATTGTACTAGCTTCAGGACAGCTGTTCCAGAATCTTCTAATGTGAACTTATTATACTTCTTGCTGCTGAGGCTGACATGGCCTGTGCCATTGCACCATCTGCTCAGCTCTCGCTCACCAGCATCTGCTGTTCTTGCCTTGGCACCATCTGCTGGCCATCTCCATCCCCATCTGCACTGCTCAGTGATACTGCTGAAATTACAACACATTTAACCTCCTCCTCATCAGAGGGATTCCTGTGTCCTGAGCCATTCCTCCTTTTAGATTCAGGAAAGACCTTTGTGGCATATCTGTAAGGTTTGCTTTAAGAATCCCTTTATTCTTATGAACATAGATTTCATAGTATTCATGGTTTATAAAAATTAGAGAGGACTCTCTATGGTTGACTACAGTAAGATGCATCGATCTTCATGATTACCATTATAAAAACACTTTGTATTCAGACAATGTCTTGCCTTTCAACATAGTTTTACATACAGAAAAAGTAGAACAAATGCATGTGAATTTCAACAACATTAGATATATAAACATGTCTGATGTTTGTATGTTTGTCATTTAATTATTGACCCCATATAATGTGAAAAATACTAAGCTTACAACACATTGTTAATCCAGATTTGGTGGTAAACAGGTAAAGGAATGATTGAAATCAAAGACTTACAATCATTTGTTAAATGTCTGTACTTAAAGGTTTACTCTGCTACCCTCTTTCTTTATTTACATATGCCAATGAATGCTTCTTTTGCTGAAAAAGGGATCTGATATATTGCAGAAGTTAAAGGAAAAAAAAAGGCTTTAAGTTCAGCAAAATCAAGGATAGGACAACGAAAAATTAAGAAAAAAACCACCATCACCACCACCACAACAACAACAAAATGAGAATGAATTGTGCGACAGTCATTACACACGGGATCAGTATAGTCAATTTCTACTTTCCATCTTTCTAGAAACCATGCCAGGACTCGTCTTTTCCCTCACACCTTTTCTGTAGTCAGAATGAGGGGGAACCTCCAACAGCTTTTACTAGAAGTATTTGGAATGTTCAAA